TCGACAAAAAAGCATAGTCGGAAAATACCAATTCAAGTTTGTAAAACTGGCCTCACGGGTTAGGGGATGGCCGAACACTACTCTTCTAGGTAGTTTCATTGGGGGTTGAGGGAAGAAATTCGAGTGGAGGTGAGAGCCATACAACCTCAGACCATCCTAGCAGTTGTCGGGTCAGCTCGACTCTTTGAAGAAAAAACAAATAAGCTCAAGAGGGGAACCGGCCCATAGGGCCCCTTCTCAAGACTCCCATTGTGGGTGGAGCCCCTCCAACAAAGAAGCCCATAGGCATTGATCCAGGGCCCCATTCCTAGAGACAGCTAACTTGGTCGAAATGCAGGCTTGTAGAGAGAAAGGCCTATGTTATAATGGCGAGGAAAAGTTTGGGCCCAGCCATAAATGTAAGGCCCAACAAGTTTTTCTGCTGCAATTAAAGGAACCAGAGGAGGGTATTGAAGAGACCACAAAAACCATAGACCCTGATGATGAGATGGACAAATTAATGAACCTTAACACCCCAGAGATCTCCTTGCAGGCCCTAACTGGGCTTGGATCTTCACAAACCATGAGGGCAAAAGGGAAAGTGATGGTTGGACCCTCACTATCTTGATCAACAGTGGCAGCTCTTTAAATTTCATGAACTTGGACCTCACTCGGCGAATGGGGTTAGTTATCAACAATGGGCCTTCTTTCAAGGTCAATGTAGCGAACGGAAACAAATTGGCTTGCCAAGGGATATGCAAGAAAATTCCTATTCGTATTCAAGACCACACACACCTAGTAAATCTCTTTCCACTCCCTTTCAATGGCACTGATATTGTCCTAGGGGTGACCTGGATTCGACAGTTAGGACCAGTCTTGTGTGATTGAGCCAAACTAACAATGGAATTTAAGAAAGGAGATAAATGGGTAAAAATAGCAGGACGCATACCAGGCCCAATCGGCCCAGAAACCCTCAAAGCCCTACTAAAAACATGTAAGCAGTAGGATCAGCCTATCTTCATGAACATGGGAGTGCAACTTCCTGGGCCTGTGTTGACCAATAACGACGACCCAAAACTACCCAAAGAATTTCGGATCCAGATCCAGGAGTTATTGAGCTAGTACGCAGAGGTCTTCCAAGAGCCTCAAGGGCTTCCCCCAGTTCGGGAGCAAGACCACCACATCCCTGTCCTACCCGAAGCACCACCGACGAATGTTCGCCCTTACTGTTACCCCCACTACTAGAAACAAGAGATTGAGAAGATTGTGGGAGAGATGTTGGAAAAGAAGATAATCAAACCAAGCACTAGCCCCTACTCATCCTCGGTCTTGCTCATGAAAAAGAAGGACGGAAGTTGAAGGTTTTGTGTGGACTATAGGACCCTAAACCACATTACAGTTAAGGACCGTTTTCCCATACCATTCATTAATGAATTGTTGGACGAGTTAAGGTCAGCTTCGGTATTTTCTAAACTAGACTTGAGGACTAGGTACCACCAGATTAGGGTCCACCCCAATGATGTGCCAAAGACGGCCTTCCACACACATGAAGGGCACTATGAGTTTTTGGTCATGCCCTTCGAGCTGACTAATGCCCCTTCCACCTTCCAAGCCCTCACGAATCACATTTTTTGGCCATACCTTAGAAAATTTATCCTGGTATTCTTCAATGACATCCTTGTGTATAGCCCAAACTGGAAGGCCCATTTGCAGCACCTCTAGACCACCCTCAACTTACTACAGGCCCACCAGCTCTATGCAAGGGCAACCAAGTGCACTTTTGGTGAAACCCAAGTCCATTATCTAGGCCACATAGTGGAGGTTGGAGCCGTGATGGCCAACCCAGAAAAGACCGCCTGCACGATTGCTTGGCCTGAACCAAAAACCGTGAAGAGTCTAGGGGTTTTATCGAGCAAACTGGTTACTACCACAAATTTATCAAGGGCTATGGAGCAATAGTTGAACCTCTGACCCAACTCCTCAAGAATGATGCCTCCCACTGGGATCAGGCGGCCCAGTTAGCATTCAACCAACTCAAAATGGCAGTCTCCTCTCCACCCGTTCTATCATTACCAGATTTCACTTAGGATTTTGTGATTGAATGTGATGCCTCAGGGACAGGAATAGGAGCAGTCTTGATGCAAGGGAGAAGACCCATCTCTTATTTCAACAAAGCCCTATCAGAATCGGCCTAGGCCTGGTCTACTTATGAAAAGGAACTAATGGCTTTGGTCCTTTCCGTCCAAAACTGGAGGGGAAACCTGTTGGGTAGGCGGTTCATCATACGGACTGACCACCGCAGCCTCAAGTATTTGTTGGAGCAAAAGGTCCAAACACCAGAGCAGCAAAAATGGATGTATAAACTACTTGGCTATGACTATACAGTACAGTACAAGGCTGGCCCATCAAACCAAGTGTCTGATGCCCTGTCTAGATTACAAGAGGTGAACCTAATGGGCCTCTCTAAGCCTGTCTATCCCTTGTTGGACCTAATCAAGTCAGAAGCCCAGACCAACCCAAGCCTTAATAAAGTTAAGAAGTGGGAGACAGACCCTTCTCTTGTCCCGGGTTACGACCTAAGAGGAAGGGATTTGTTTTACAAGGGACGAATGGTGGTAGCCCCAGACTCCCAATACATCCCGGAGCTACTCCGTCTCTTCCACGATTCAACCAAAGGAGGTCACTCAGGCATAGTCCACACCTGGAAACGTCTCTCCACCCACTACTATTGGCCAGCAATGAAGAAGACCATCACAGAGTACATTCGCTAATGTCCAGAATGCCAACGACAGAAGTATGAAGCTCAATCCCCCGGTGGCCTCTTGCAACCTCTACCCCTTCCTGAACAGGTTTGGGAAGAAGTCTCCATGGATTTTATCTCCAGCCTTCCTTCTCCTCTGGTAAGTCCGTGATCATGGTGGTTGTTGATAGATTAACGAAGCATGGTCATTTCTCCCCCCCCCCCTTCCCCATCCATACAATGCAGCAATGGTAGCTGAAGTTTTTATCAGAGACGTGGCAAAACTACACGGGACCCCCAGAGGGATTGTTTCAGACCAGGGCCCCATGTTCTTAAGCAAGTTTTGGCAAGAATATTTCAAACTACAGGGGAGCCACCTCAGCCACTCGACTAGCTATCATCCCTAAAGCGACGGACAGACAAAAGTCGTAAACAGATGCCTGGAGACCTTCAAAGCTTCACCAAAGATTGCCCAAAACAAAATGGCTACCTTGGGCCGAACTGTGGTACAAAACAACCTACCACGCAGCAGCCAGAATGTCTCCGTTCAGAGCTCTATATGGGAGGGATCCCCCATCCCTTCTTCCCTAGGAAAAGGAAACAACGGCAGTAGGTGCGGTTGATGATTACCTTACCTCTAGAGATGAGCTTCTGAAGCACCTTAAGGATCACTTAAATCGTGCATAGCAACTTATGAAGAATCAGTATGACAAGCACCATAGATTTGTCAAGTTCGCAGTAGGGGATCTTGTTTACCTAAAACTTCAACCCTATAGACAGGCTACAATTGCCCGTCGGCTATGGCATAAGCTATCGCCGCGCTTCTACGGGCCCTTTCCAGTCTTGGAGAAGATAGGGATGGTTGCTTACAAGCTTCAGCTCACCGAAGGTACTAGGGTCCACCCAGTGTTCCATGTCTCTCAACTAAAGAAACATCTTGGACCTGCCACAATCACCTCGCCCACTATGCCTCCTGTTTCGGAAGAAGGAGAACTGCAGCTGCACCCTCAAGAGTTACTGGATTTCCATTGGATCAAGGATGGACGGAAGGTAGTTGAGGAGGCCCTCGTCAAATGGGAGGGACTACCCTATACCGATGCCACCTGGGAGCTGGTTTCAGTACTCCAAGAACGATTCTCACAACTGAACCTTGAGAGCAAGGTCCATTCTAAGGGGGGAGGAGCTGTTAAAGCCCAGCCCAGTATGGGCCCAAATGGAGGAGTTCAGTCTAACCCGCTGCCTCAAGTAAGGGATCGGCCCATCATAGCTTGGGTTTATACCAGGAGGCCACGTCAGCAAACCAACCTGTCAGACACCGTTAGGAGTGGGAATGTTCTCTCGATCACCAGCATCCATGAATAACCGAATAGTCAGAGTCTGGTAGGAGTTCCAGGCCTCCTCTTTATAAATGACCTGTTTTATGGAAATTACTCATGCATGAATCAATTTCCCTTTTATCTTCTTCTTCTCGTCTAGGAGGCTGTGTCACCCTCAAAGGGACACCTGCGGTAGGCAGTTCTCACCAATGACTAAATTCAGTAATAAAAAAATAGCAAAAGAAAAGGAAACAATAACAAGAAGAGAAATGAAGAAGTGGAGGAGATGACTCAACAATATAAATAAAGTAAAAGCAATAAGAAAAGCAATCCTGAAAAATAACATACAGATTCAATTGATCAGCATCCAACAAATGAATGAAATACCTGTAGTAAATTAAGGATTAGGTCTTAATGAAGTCAAAACCATTAGGTTTCCTTAGGAATCAGCACCTTCAAGCTTAGAGTCAGCACCAAACCATTAAAACTGTTAAGAACAATTGAACTTTGATTAACTCTCAAAAGAATGTTTACAAATATCCACCAAAAATTCATCCCTTTATTCAAAGAAAGAAATGCAGAAATGTCAGAGTAAATGTGGAAAAAATGTCATTTGACCAAATCTCTCTTTGAGATTGCTTGATTAACAATTAAATTGTACAGATTGTCAACTGTATAACACCTGGTGGTATAAAATATTCAAACCCTGTAAATCTGTAACAGCTTATCATGGTCAAGCAGGGTGTCACCTAAGTAGGAATTCCGAAAAAGTGTATACGCATAGCAAACTTGTTTTCTTTCAAAGAAGCTTTTCATTCCACACATGCCCTTGTACTTTTTTATTTTATCATGCATGTGCACAGTATCATATCAAGATTGCAGCATTGTGTATCAGAAGGCTTTATGCAATTTAGTCAATTTTATATCCACTACCATTCAAAGCTTTTCATAAAAAGAAGGAAAACTAAACAAACACAGCACATTCTCTCTATCAACATCTACATGAGAGGCAAAAAACCTTAGAACAATATTAATTTCCAATCATTAGAAAGAAAATCGGATAATCATATATGAAGCTGAAACAGAGTGGCATTTAATGCATAGTTCCAATACAGATATCTATAACTACAATTAAGTATACCACATCATCTAGGTTTTCCTGAGCTAGATTTAAGCAGTGACTTGATAACCATTGTCCACAATAAAGGTTGTCAAAGAGCTTGATAAACAACCACTCAAAAGGGCTTATCGTAATCTTGTGTAGGCTGCTCCCAGACCCCTAGAAAACCTACAAAAGACAAAAATCTGAAACATTTCAGAATAAGCAAATCAAGATTTTACAATGATAAAAAAATAGAGTAAAAAATATATACATGTTAACAATGAAGAAACTATTTAGTGGCAGGCATGATGCAGTGACAAAAACTAACTCAACCATCTATCAAATTTTGTGATATTACTTTCAACCATCTTTTGACTACATAAAGACTTGGAGAAGATATTGGTTCAAAACTATACTTACATGAATTGACTTGGTTCAACACCAAAACAGTATAGTACCACCTGGATCCTGGAACCTAGTGTCCTTACTTTTTTAATGGAACCTCATGTCCTTTCCCCATGACATCATCCAATTAACTAACAAGTGGCACTACTTTCCTGAGTCATTTCCTCTCAATTGGATGATATTTTATACTAAATACCCTGAATGATCTGATCCACACAAGCAGTCAATTATATAAAGCCCTCTATGATAAATTTAGTGAAATAAATACCTATTCAACCAGGAAAAGAATAAATATTTTCTCTTCCATTTTCTACCGGGTAAGGTGAAAAACAACTTTTTGCTTGTGAAGCAGAGCTACAGGCTCAAACTGCAAGCACTAAGCTGAAGCATTAACACTTAAACTTACTTTTATTAGAGTCTTCTTTTACCCACAATTTCTTCACATATTTATTAAACTCAGCTCCATTGCAACATTTCAATTGCCTCCAGCTCTCCCATCAAACACACATGGATGTGAGCAGAGCATCTTGTTTAAGTTATTGAGGATCTCCAATGATACCTTGGTTCTCAGGTTTCTAGATTCTACAATCCAGAATTCTCAGGATTTTGAGGTGTCTGTGATTCTCTTCATGCACACCATATTCATACTTCAATCTATTACTGATAGGGAAAAGATTAAAAAAAAAAAGTGAACCCAAAAAACGAAAATCATGACCCATAAAGTCAAATTTGTTATATATTTTCCTAGTTAGGTTAACCATGAAACCAGTAGATTAAAAAGAAAACAATAATACCATTCAACTAAATATCTGGCATACTTATTGGTATTTCTCCCAGAGATAGATAAATCGGATCAACTTCGCCAAGAATCCCCTGAAATAAATGACAAATAACAATGAATAATATGTTAGTTGAAAAGATCATGAATACTACAGGGGGAAAAGCATATCAATGGAATGCACATGCAATGATTAAATAACCAACACTAGAAGTATCAAATCACCAACTGTATATATATGTTTCACAATGATACCTCTCCATTATGAAGACCGATTTCAGTATGAAGCCCACTAATATCTGCCGGTACTGATGAGCAATTTGGGATATCAGTTCCAAGCAACTCAGAGATCATGAGACCATAACCGTCCTGTACATCAGGAAGATCACCAGTATTCTCTGTATGGTTTGGAAAGTTTTCCATGTTGGGATATAGAGTTGCAATCCTGTATCATAGAATAATTCAAGATTTAGGAGAGAACCAACAACTATGAGACCAAATGCACCACACACCAGTAGAGTTCTTGGAGGGGTCAAAATCCAATCTAAAACATAGGAATGCAATATATGTTATAAGAGTCTTATGCAGCTTTTTTTAATAAGTCTTGTGCAATTATCATCCATAAATATATGAAGTAACATATTAATAAACTGAAAAAAGAAACAACATAGACATGAAAATCCAGCCACAAATTACTATGCAATCATCATCTACAAATTCTGAAACAACATGCTAATTAGTGAATGTTGTAAGAAAACCTTACCCCCTCTGTGAAATGTTATGGGCATTTTCTTCTTTCACAGCTTCATTTGCTACATCATCTATTGCAACTTCTTTGGCATTAACTGGACATCGGCCGTAGCCATCAGATCTGTTGCAGTTATTGCTTATTGACAAATCAACATCCACTGATACCTCCTTTTTGCCTTCTAAGGTAGAGGGAAAACCAAGAACTGGATCATCATCATGATTCTCTGTCATATCAGAGGTCTCCATGAGGTTAAGGTCACAAATCTTAAATGAACTCGGAAAAAGCTGCTTCTCTTCTCTAAACTCAATCCCCATTCCAGCTCCACTTTTTGGAAAAAGATCAGTATTAACCAGCTTCTCTTGATTAACCACCTCTACAACATCATCATCAGGTGAAGGTCTCACCTCTGGTTCATCTAATTGCTTTGTTCTCAAGTTATGAAGATGGAAGTACTCATTTGCTTGCATAAAAAAGGATGAAGACCATTCTCTAGGTTTATTGGCAGTTTCCATCATATCATCATGTTGTACAGCATCAACCGGCCTCTCTTGATTGACCACCTCTACCACATTGTCATCAGCTGAAGGACTCTCCTCAGGCGTACTTGATGGTTTTGCTCGCAAGTTATGAAGATGGAGATACTCATTGGCCTGCGTAACAATGGCTGGAGGCCATTCTTTAGGTTTCTTGCCTCCTTCTTTAACATCATCATGTTGCACAGCATTAACCAGCCTCTCTTGATTGACCACCTCTACCACATCATCATCGGATGAAATCTCTTCAGGTGTACTTGATTGCTTTTCTCTGGAGTCATGGAGATGGAAGTAGTCATTGGCCTGTGTAACAATTGATGAAGACCATTCTCTAGGTTTCTTGGCTCCTTCTCTCATACCATCATGTTGTAGACTTCTTTTCTGACCTCTCTTGTTACCCATAGAGCTGCACCTTCCGAACCCAGGTGGGCCCTGGCCTGGTTCTTCTGGATGTGTAAAAGAAGATCCCTCGTGGAAAGATTGAGACCTCATGCATTTACTCCTATCTACAGAAAATGCAGGATTCAGGTTACCAACATCCTGGCCTGGTTCTTCTTGATGCATAAAAGAAGATCCCTCATGGAAAGATTGAGACTTCATGCATTTACTCCTATCTACAGAAAATGCAGGATTCAGGTTTCCAGTATCCTCCATAGACTGCACACTTGTGACCCTTGGAATGTCAGATTTTATGCATGTTGAACTGTGAGCTTGATTTGTCAATGCATCATTTGATGCGCCTTCAACTGAATCTTCTTCTATGACAATTTGGGGACTTTTTGAATTCACAATATCAGATACTACACCCTCCTCAGTTGTGGGATTTGGTTCCACCTTTAAGGCCTTACATGCCAATGAAGAGCGAATCTTGGTGGGCACTTTAGCAAAGTTGCATAGTTTTAGCAAATCATTGCCATTCTTGCTTGTTGAACCACCATCTAGCGAGCAGTGCTGCGAAGTAGTTTCCTCTGCACTGTGTTGTTTCTCCTGTTCATCATTACTAGTATCATTCTTCACCTCTCCTCTCTCTGCACCCAATATTCTAGAATCATCAGATCCCTTGGAACATTCGCCTTCTGTATCAAGAGGGAGCTCTCTCCTACTGCTTGAAGAACTTACCTTCGAACAAGTATCATCAGGAAACTCATAGTTTTCCAGTTCAGGTTCTGCATCACCAGCAGAATCACTTTTGGGCAGCAATTCATTGGAGCCAACCTTTGGTACCCCACTACCAACATCTGAGCCAGCCCACCGCTCTTCATGATATCCAGAATTAAGAGCATCCTCACCCTCCATATCAGGAAAAGATTTAGTTCTCTCTGAAAATGAACCACTTCTTCCATTTTCTCTACTCCAATCAGAGCCAAAACTACCCCTAAAAGAACCCATCCTTCTTCTTCCTCTCATATGACTTCTCATTCCTGTTGGATGGAATTCATCAGGGAACCTTCTCCTGCCAGAACCACCTTCAGGGACAGCATTCCCAAGACGGGCTAGTGCTGACATTCGGCCCTCAGGAGGTAATTGCATGTTTTCCCTGTCCTGCTGTCGATATTCAGGAAAGTCAGCCACCTGGTTCTTCAAACTGCCATTCTGCCACTTTCCTGGAAGTACATTTGGAGGTAGCAACCCCTTAGAAACTAAATATTCTGCTGCAAGCCGACCAGCTTCCATGAAAGCGTCACCCTTGCGAGGTGGTTGTGGTGGTGGATAAGACTTAGGAGGGCCACGTCCAAAACCGCGATTGTAGTTCCTGAATTCTGGGTTGTACATTCCATGGCCTCTTATTGAACCTTCAGGCGAGATTCGAGAGGCAGCTAGCCCCATTCCCATTGAATTAGACCTACCCCCACCACCGGGACTCCGGTGTCTAGCATGCATGTTTTAGAAGTATGTTACAGAGCCGAAGTGTAAGTCCGTAACTGGTAAGCAAGGGTGCTTTGCCCCGTTCGTCCGACCTAGAAGAACAATTCCAAAAGAACCACCTCAGTTTCGAGTTAAGCAAGTTAAAATCATCGACCCAGTTTAAATCTCAAACAATATAACCCTAATCCTTCCACAAAAGGTAGAAGCCGACAAGTCCTTGTGTTTCAGATTCAAAACAAGCATCACCGTCACAGAAAATTTCCTAACTTATTCAGTCGACCCCCGTACTCTTTCTTTTTTAAGTCCTTAACAGAGACACCAAATTCGTCTCCTTAAAGAACCTTAATAGATCAGCTTGCAGTAATCTACACAAATCAGTGGAAGTCAGCCGTAGCATAGGCCATAGAAACCCCAAATTCTCAGTTTTCCGGCTCAAATAACGTTAGTTCAAAAGGGTTCAACATTCAAACAATGATAAAGCATGATTGAGGTGCAGATCTGTTGGATCTTGGGATTTACTTGCAATTTCAACAACAATAATCACCTAACCTTGGTCCGATGCGTGTTTCGTTCTCGACGTCTGTAGATATGTTCCAGGAAACAAGATCCGAGCTGAATTTTTAGGGTTTCTGTTCCAGTTCGCAAGAATCGTGCCTTTACGTGTTATAAACTGCGAATCAAGGTCAATTCCACATTAAGAAACCTCTCTGACAACGAGGTCCAAGTCCAACATCGAATTTCACAGTCTCTTGCAAGAAGAATCTAATAATTGTTTCCGTGTCTGAATTGAAATCGTTGAGAGACATCAGATGATATCAGATCGGAATCTATCAAGATCAAGCTATGGTTTTGATCCCCGTCTATTCGGGAAAATTTTTAGGGTTCCTTTGCGTTCAATGTCTGGTCTTTCTTCTCTTCCTCTTTTCGGTCATCTCTCTCTCTCTCTCCCCAAAGTTCAAAGATCAAAACCAGTCCGAAACACGTCATCCTCATCTCTGTGGCGCGTGAGAAAGCGGTTGGCGATATCCTCCTCAGTTCAATGGAACACGTGTAAAACACCTACTTTAAGTCCACGTCAAAAAAAGGTTTTGGTCACTCGAAGTTGACTCGCTCGCCCCCGCTTTAACGCACCGCACCGCACCGTCTGTGAGGGCGAATACAGCGCAACGCGCAGTAAGGAAAATGAGTCGTTCGTGCGGACGACACGCACACAGATTTAATTCCGGCACATTGCATTAGGTAGTAGTTAGGACTTAGACTTACGAGTGCCCACGCACCAAGTCCGAGCTAATAGGGGCATTTTTGTAAATGCAGAATTAAAATGACAAAAGAGTATGCAGGGCTACAAATTACAATGACAAAAGAGAGCCCATGAGGCCATGATGAAGACTAATGTAAATTATGAGAATATATTTTTCTCATAAAATAAAATAAATTTTCAAAATATTTTACAAAAACCAATAAAAAATTATTTCAAAAGGAGAAGAAACGAAAGACCCATAATGTAAAATAAAAATTAAAGAAAAAACATTGAAAGAGTTGCCATTAAGGCTATGTTTGGTTTGAAGGAAAAGGTAGGGAAAGCAAGGAAAAAACAGGAAAATAAGTACAAGATTTGTAAAGGTCTCTCTATTTTTCCTTTCCTTTCCCTATATTTTCCTATGTTTGATTTGAAGGAAAATGTAGGGAGAAAAAGAGACCATACTAGTCAGAAAATAATATTTTAAAATCTAAATATAAGACTTGAATCATTTTCCAACCCATAGAGTGGAGCTTTTTTTTTAAATCTAAAATCTAAATATGTATTTATGTATATACATAAATACATATTATAATTAAATATTAATATATGATGTGACATAAAGACCAACAAAATGTCATGCCCAAAAGGTAAAAAGAAGAGTTTAAATTGAATCTCGATACATTGAACCTTGGTTGCTTTAAGAGACCATTTTTTAGCCAACAAGAGAAAATGGGATACATTCAAGAAGAGAATTCCCACTCAAAGATATAATATAATACAAAGAATGTTGACAAATGGAGTTATTGACTCTAAAGGAAACACAAATTTAAAAAAAAAAAAATCTTGATGGTAAATTTTTTTCATTTCTTTAATTAATGGAGCAAGGACGGGGATGATTTTTCCACAACGACCAGGATGAGGAGGAAACAAGGAGAGCATTCTCTGCCCCATGGGTATCCCACTATATATAACTAGTAGAACCCCGTGCGGTGCATGGGAATAAAAATTAGATACTAATTATTAATTAATGAAATTTAATATTCTATTATTACTGTTAATAAAATATTACTGGTTATTTATTTCATTTAACGCTAATTTTTTGGTTATTATGTTTTGATTTGTTTAATAAAAAAGTAAATAAATTACTATTTATCACTATTAATTTACTGTTTACCACGGTTTGTAATGGTTTTTATTATTATTTAGTAATAATAAATTACTCTTTATTAATTATAAATTTATTGGTAATATATAATAAATTAATAAACAGAAAACTAACAAAAAGTAAAAACATAAAATATTAATTTTCTGATAATTCAAATAAATTTAAACATGTTTAAACTAAGAAAATTCCTTAATTCAACATAATTAAAATTTCTCAAAGTTAAGTATATAAATAAATAACTAATTAAACAAGAGATCTCGTATAAGGTATAGGTTAATTTAGCCAACCCCAACCTATGTCCGCTCCTCAAGCAACCTCCTAAGAGTTTCCACTAAACAACTAGACGTCTTGGGCACTAGTAATGCCTATAATAAATTGGATGGTGTTGCGAGTGTTACCCTAACTAGGCAAAACTTGTAGGTTCCTGCCTAACCTGAACTAGTAGATCTTGTAGGTATCTACCAAATCTTAATTGGATTTCTAGGTCCTAATCAAACCTCTATTAGTGTTCTCAACATTGAACACCACTTGTTACAAGAAAATATATTTTTAACAACCGAAAAAGTTGTAGTTAAAAGTCTAAAATCCATCGTTGAACAACTTTAATGACGGGAGTATATACCAATGCCACCCGTCACTAAAGGCCTTGCCGCTAAAAGTATAGTGACGAATTAAAAATTTCGGTCCTTAAAACTTATCAACAATAAGGGTACAACTCGTCGGTAAAAATATTGCAACGGCAACGAAAAATCTCATTATTATTATTAATTTAAAATTATTAACAATGACTTATTTCGTCACTATTAAGCATACATTAGTGACCATAAATGTCGTCGCTAATGAATTCAAAACTATTAACCATGGAATATTCTGTTACCATTGAACACATCATAATAACTAAAAATACCATCATTAATAAGTTTAAAAATAATGACTAATATATGTCATTACTATTGATCTCATTTTTAGCATAGTGAAGTGATTACAATAATAACCACTTTATGTTATCATTAATTAAATGGAATTCATTGAAACAACAAATAACCAGCGTAATGCATAGTTAACATTTCCTATATTTCATTATGATATTGAATATCCATACATTTTTATCCAAACAAGTACAAAATTATTAAAGTTGACATTAAAAGAGAAAAGGATTACATACTAAAACTAACAAAATTATCCTAACTCAACATACTTATTAGCTACTTCATGAGTAGCCAAAGTACAAAATTCTAATTAAACTATTTAATAAAAGTAAAAGTATTGTCCAAAATAATCCATATATCTTCATGGATTAGCCTCTAGATGACCATTAAGAGCTTTAATCCCTTAAAAAACAACACTTCTTATTGAATAACCCAACTACCAACAAACTTCCACCTTAAACCATAAAAATCTCTTTAGAAGAGTTTAAACATAAACCATAATAAAGTTGCCATTATATGATTTATTTATTTTAGTTGAAGGATTTAATTGCAATCAAAGAAATCTATTTAGGCATTTATGTAAATCTCCATCATAGTTTCTACCTAGCAAAATATGTTAAGTAATTTTCTTTTGATTGAAAATAATTGGAAATTTAAATAATAAGAAATTGGCAAATAGATTGTACACAAATCCAACACTTCTAATTATTTAGGAGTACAAAACCTTATTGTTGCAAATTCAAGATTGCCATTCAAATCTGAAGTGAAAATTCATCTCTCAAACCAAAAGAGAAAATTAAAAAAAAATGGAATCCTAATGAAATATTAAAATCTACCTTGCCTTATGTAACACAAAGAAACAAAATAGCACTTAGGGGACATAAATGCAGACCTCCAATCAAATCCAGAACTTCTAGAAATTTAAAATTGGAAATCAAAGGAAAGAAGGAACTGAAAAATCACTTTTATCTTATAATTCTCTACAAATGTTTATTTTCAAAACCAACTTGTGTGCAATCAAAAACTTTGAAGCTGCTTGATAATATCAAAAATGGTTGAACTAAAAATCTTTTTGTTTTATCTTAAAACTCTTTGAACCCCCTTTTAACTCTTTATTAAAAAACAACCTAATATATGCCCTAAAATGGAACTTGTCTTGGACGTAAACTAGTTCCAAAACCCAAAATTACCATGAAAAGCAAATAATTCCTTGAAATCTACATGCAGTGATACCTGGCAATTCAGTATCCAAACTTTCAAAATGTGCCAACCCATTACCTGCCATGGCCAGCCATTAACCATCTATTAAGTGGAATTTGAAAAGATACAAATGCCCTTTGAATGTCATCTAATTTTTTTAATTAACCATCTAAACGTTGACAAAAATGAACAGTCTCAAATTCTTTTCTCTTCTACTCAAGAAATTTGGGGTCATGTCTAGGTGGGCATTTTGGTGACCTCAACTTTCTTGAATAAAAGAAGCAAGGATTTTGGACTGTTCATTTATTGTCAATGTTTGGATTGTTGATAAAGAAAATTAGATGGCACTCAAAGGGCATTTATGTATTTTCAAATGCCACTTAACGGCTAGTTAGCGGTAGGTACTAAATTGACATGTTTTGAAAGTTCGGGTACTGAATTGTCATGTTTTAAAGTTCAGGGGACTAAAGTGACACTAGGTCCAAAGTACAAGGTACTAATTGGGAATTTTCCCTTTAGAATAATAATAAAAACAAATCCCACTTGATTCCTCCAAGAGAAACTAAGAACTTGATTGGCCCTCTTTTGCATAGAATTCTCATAAAATAACAAGAGAAACTAATAGAACTTGATTATCCCTATTGGTTTTTCATTTTTACTCTTTTTATTTGGCCCATAAATATTGAAATCTTCTTCCATATATTTTAAATTTAAAAAATGCATAAAATATATTAATTTACATTAAATCATTGAATAATCTTTAATACTTGAAGTTTACACCTTTTATGCCTCAAACCTTGAGCCTTTAGGCTTATGCTTGACGAAGGCTTGAACCTCACATCAAAGTCGTGAGGGTTATGCCTTGAGGCAAAATCTATGTGCCTTGCCTCAAGGCGTACACCTCATGCCACAAGGCTTATAAGCCTTTTAAAACATTGTCAGAGGTGAAGGTTGGATTGATCCCAAGTCTGCATTATGTCAAGCCAAGTACCTTAATTACTAGCAAATTAGATGGCACCATGATGGAGTAAATGTCTTTTTGATGTCATAGTTGAACCCTTGGAGAATGTCTATTGATTAACCATACATCAACTAACTTCCATTTATGATTCTCCATGTAAAATTGAATATCCAAATTCGATCAATTTATACTTTTTTAGATGAAACGAAACACAATGGGTTGTAACCCGTCCCTTGAACCTCAAGACCCCACCCCCAATTCTAATTGAAGGTAGGATTTGATCCCAAGTCTCTACTACAATGAGCCAAGGACCTTACCAGCAAGCTAGCTTGCACCTTCTCAAAGATCACGTTATTATTTTCATTTGCTGAGCCAAAATTATACTTTTAGCTGTTAGTGCCTCAGGCTCAATTTGGAAGGAGTACAAATGCAAATATGTAGAGTGCAAAACCTTGTATTTGTACTATACATATTTGTATTTGTACTCCTTCTAAACTAAGCCTCAGTAATGAGAATTGGTGTTTTGATGATGTACCTTGCTAACATCTA